GGAACTTTAGTTTCTTGTGTAATTAAAATAGATGAAGGGACCATCAGGCAGGACCTGAGGGGTGGGCCAGAACTAGAGGGCAAGCCTTGCTCAAAACTCCCCCATGCTTCCTCATTGGCCCTTCTGCACCTCAACTGCAGGGGCTGGTCATCTTCTCAGTGCACAGAGCCCTTCAAGGCAGGGGCCAGGTCTCACTAATATCTGTATCTGGCACCGAAGAGAAGGCTGGTCTGGGGAGCTGCTCAGGGGGCTGCCGTCTGCATGAGGAAGTGAGGGGCCTGTACTGCTGGCTCTGAGGCACAGAGAGGGGTACAAAGTCAGTCCAATGCCGTGCACACCTGGCTTTCCAGGTCACAGTCCCCAAGTGCCTGCCCATTAGCAAAAGAGCGGATCAACAACTGAACCCCACCGAGGAACATGCAACAATGAAAAGGAACAAACTATGGATGCGTGTGGCATCCTGTATGAATGTCACTGACAGAATGTTGAGCAAAGGCAGCTGGATGGAAGTGCACAGGCTGTACAAGTCAATATACAGGAAGTTGCATAGCAGGCAAATCTCCCCTAGCATACACCCAAAAGAACCAGAAGCAGGGGCTCAAACAGATATTGGCACACCCACATTGACAGTAGCATTACTCACAATCACCAAAACATGGAAGCAAGTTAGGTGTCCATCAGCAGATGATTAGATCAATGAAATGGGGCCCATCCACCCAGTGGAGTATTATGCAGCCTTAGAAAGGAACGAGGCACTGACACGCCACAGCACGAATGAACCTTGAGGAAAGAAGCCAGTCACTAAAGGACAAATACTATATGATTCCATTGACATGAGGTACTAGAAGAGTCAGATCCTTAGAGACAGGAAGTAGGATGGTAGGTGCTGGGGCTGGGGGAAGGGGAAAGAGTTAGTGTTTAGTGGGAACAGGTTTCAGTATGGGATGATGAAAAGTTTAGAGATGGATGGCAGTGGTGATTGCACACCATTGAAAATGTACTTAATGCCACTTAACTGAATACATAAAAACAGTGGAGATGCTAAATTTTATGTTTTGTGTGTTTTACCACAATTTGAAAAGAAGAAAAAATTAACTTAAGTGTAATGGAAAGCATATCAGTGGTTACCTTACTGAGATGGCAAGAAGACAGGAAGGGGGTTTCTGGAGTGACAGCAAAGTTCTATGGTGGTGGACGGTGGTTCCACACATGTACACTGCGTCAAATGCCAATGACTAGAACTCTTAAAATGGTTGCATACTATTGAATGCAAACTGTACCTCAATAAAGTTGATTTTAAAGGTTAAAAAAATACATAAAGAAAAAAATTAAAAGAAACAAAATTACCAGGAGTAGTGATCACATGCCTATGAGTAAAAAAAATTAGTACATGCCTAGAAATAAACAAAGAAAGATGTGAAAGTAAAGTTTACATGAATAAAAAGTTTCCTTAATTTTCCAAAGTTTTTGGGATTGTAAGAATTATAATTGTGAGATTGTAAGAACTATAGAATTCCTTCCCAGAATGAAAGGACAGAATCAGTGCTAAGGGGCCACAGTTTTTTCTTACCAAATGGTCTGGTGCTTTGGGGAAAGTAAACTTACTCCTTCATATGGGAATGCTTTTATATTAAGGGCTCAAAATCACTTCCCAAAGAGGCCTGGGCCAACCAATTTTCAGGTTTCAATTCTAATACTTTCCTCATGTCTTCAATTTATTGAAAATCTCACTTATTATTGATCAACTTCAGATGCTTTCATTTTTCATGTGAGTACTTACTGCTGAAATTAATCACTTGGTCAAAATACCAATATCAATGAATAAAAGAATTAATAAAAAATGAACTCCAGGAAGTTCAGATAGCCATCCCAGTTGTATTTATCTGGAGTCATTTCCAGACTAAATGTAAATCACTTCTGACTTTATCCAAGACACTGAATATTTTCTTCTGTATGTATGACATTTCCCTACATGAAGTAGACAAATTCCTAGAGGCTTGACTGGCTCATATTTCTTTTCAATAAGAATTCTCTTTGTATACTGTGTAGTGTGATACACAAGTAGTTTGCCTCTTACTGCATACCTTCTGATATTAATTCCAGTTATAAATTAGGGTGAACAGTGGGGGGTGTGGAAAGCTAATCTTTGATAGTCATATTATTTTAGATCTACTTATGCCATTGATTTTTGTTATTTCCTTATGTGTCATTTTGCTCACAGTAAATAAGAAACATTGCCTGTTTAAGTGGATCTCAGTGTATAAAAGAAGTTGACCAACTGGCTGCTTGTGGCTCATTTGGTGCTCATTGCTGAGGCCACCTAGACTCCCTGGACAGTCTTCTTCATGGGTAGAATGGCTTGAGGGCACAGGTGGTGTGACGCATGGGTGAAAGTGGCCAACAGACCGTCACTTTCATCCTGAAATGAAGACTGGAGTATCATGCAGACTTTGCCAGCCATTTTATGTGCAGCTCAAGCCACAGCAGCCAATTCTGGGTTTTCTCTCTTCACTTGGGGATGGTTGGAAAGAAGGACGAAGTCAGATTTATTTGTGGGATGAAGTTTCTTTTCAGACTTCTTCTCTGCTGTGCCTGCAAAGCAAAGGACTTATCTGGTAACTGGCATTATATGACAAACTCAAATTTCTAGAGTCAAGTTGCACCACTAACTTCTGTAGAGATTTTAATCCTCCTAGGTAGAAAATATTTACTTTACTGTGTGCCTCAAGTATAACAGTGTGTTAAAAACAGGAGGCAGGGGAGAGGAGCCAAGATGGCGGTGTGAGTGGGTGGGAGTGGAAATCTCCTCCCAAAACCATATATATTTTTGAAAATACAACAAATACAACTATTCCTAAAAGAGGGACCAGAAGATACAGTACAACAGCCAGCCTACATCTACACCTGCGAGAACTCAGCACCTCACGAAGGGGGTAAGATACAAGCTGCAGCTCGGCAGGACGTAATTGCGCCCCCCACCCCAGCTCCCCAGTGGGAGGAGAGGAGCTGGAGCAGGGAGGGAGTGGGAGCCCAGGACTGCTAAATACCCAGCCCTAGTCATCTGCACCGGGAGCACAGACAAACAGTGCATGGTGTGCTGGATATGAGGGAAACCAAACAGTAAAATATGCGAGCAGGTCCCTGCAGCTGGCACCCCTGGGAAAGTCTTAAAGGGACAGGGGCCTCATAACTGGATTGACTGAGGCATCACGGAACACTCAGCCCAGCAGGCTGAGAATCCGGGGGAACTTTGGGCGCCCTAACCCCCTGGGAGGCAGCGCAGCTCTGAAGCCCCTCATGGTGATAAAGAGCTTCCCATCCATTCCCCCTCCAGCGTGGCCCTGCCATAGCAGAGGAGTGGCCTGGGAGCAGCCACGCCCACAGCAACTGCCCAGAGCCTCCTCCGCAGCCACCTGGGCCAGACTCAGAGGCCCCACCTGCATGCAGTTGCATGGTGCAAAGGAAGCCAGGACAGGGTGTGAAAGGTTGCCGTTCTCATAGGAGAGCACACCTGGAGCACCTGCCACTCCCTGCAGGGCTATGGGCTGCCTCGCCTGTGGAGGCTCAGGAAATAAAACCAGAAGCTGCTCCCCATGTGCGGGTAACTGGCACAGGCAGTGGAGGAGGGCAAAGCGACCAGCAAGCAAGAAGGGCCTTGTTCTCCCAGCTAACACACACACCAACTGCCTATGACTACCTCTATCGCCATGAAAAGGCAGAAGAATTTTTAGAACTCTTAAAATGGTTGCATACTATTGAATGCAAACTGTACCTCAATAAAGTTGATTTTAAAGGTTAAAAAAATACATAAAGAAAAAAATTAAAAGAAACAAAATTACCAGGAGTAGTGATCACATGCCTATGAGTAAAAAAAATTAGTACATGCCTAGAAATAAACAAAGAAAGATGTGAAAGTAAAGTTTACATGAATAAAAAGTTTCCTTAATTTTCCAAAGTTTTTGGGATTGTAAGAATTATAATTGTGAGATTGTAAGAACTATAGAATTCCTTCCCAGAATGAAAGGACAGAATCAGTGCTAAGGGGCCACAGTTTTTTCTTACCAAATGGTCTGGTGCTTTGGGGAAAGTAAACTTACTCCTTCATATGGGAATGCTTTTATATTAAGGGCTCAAAATCACTTCCCAAAGAGGCCTGGGCCAACCAATTTTCAGGTTTCAATTCTAATACTTTCCTCATGTCTTCAATTTATTGAAAATCTCACTTATTATTGGTCAACTTCAGATGCTTTCATTTTTCATGTGAGTACTTACTGCTGAAATTAATCACTTGGTCAAAATACCAATATCAATGAATAAAAGAATTAATAAAAAATGAACTCCAGGAAGTTCAGATAGCCATCCCAGTTGTATTTATCTGGAGTCATTTCCAGACTAAATGTAAATCACTTCTGACTTTATCCAAGACACTGAATATTTTCTTCTGTATGTATGACATTTCCCTACATGAAGTAGACAAATTCCTAGAGGCTTGACTGGCTCATATTTCTTTTCAATAAGAATTCTCTTTGTATACTGTGTAGTGTGATACACAAGTAGTTTGCCTCTTACTGCATACCTTCTGATATTAATTCCAGTTATAAATTAGGGTGAACAGTGGGGGGTGTGGAAAGCTAATCTTTGATAGTCATATTATTTTAGATCTACTTATGCCATTGATTTTTGTTATTTCCTTATGTGTCATTTTGCTCACAGTAAATAAGAAACATTGCCTGTTTAAGTGGATCTTATTGTATAAAAGAAGTTGACCAACTGGCTGCTTGTGGCTCATTTGGTGCTCATTGCTGAGGCCACCTAGACTCCCTGGACAGTCTTCTTCATGGGTAGAATGGCTTGAGGGCACAGGTGGTGTGACGCATGGGTGAAAGTGGCCAACAGACCGTCACTTTCATCCTGAAATGAAGACTGGAGTATCATGCAGACTTTGCCAGCCATTTTATGTGCAGCTCAAGCCACAGCAGCCAATTCTGGGTTTTCTCTCTTCACTTGGGGATGGTTGGAAAGAAGGACGAAGTCAGATTTATTTGTGGGATGAAGTTTCTTTTCAGACTTCTTCTCTGCTGTGCCTGCAAAGCAAAGGACTTATCTGGTAACTGGCATTATATGACAAACTCAAATTTCTAGAGTCAAGTTGCACCACTAACTTCTGTAGAGATTTTAATCCTCCTAGGTAGAAAATATTTACTTTACTGTGTGCCTCAAGTATAACAGTGTGTTAAAAACAGGAGGCAGGGGAGAGGAGCCAAGATGGCAGTGTGAGTGGGTGGGAGTGGAAATCTCCTCCCAAAACCATATATATTTTTGAAAATACAACAAATACAACTATTCCTAAAAGAGGGACCAGAAGATACAGTACAACAGCCAGCCTACATCTACACCTGCGAGAACTCAGCACCTCACGAAGGGGGTAAGATACAAGCTGCAGCTCGGCAGGACGTAATTGCGCCCCCCACCCCAGCTCCCCAGTGGGAGGAGAGGAGCTGGAGCAGGGAGGGAGTGGGAGCCCAGGACTGCTAAATACCCAGCCCTAGTCATCTGCACCGGGAGCACAGACAAACAGTGCATGGTGTGCTGGATATGAGGGAAACCAAACAGTAAAATATGCGAGCAGGTCC